CCACCACGTGGTCCGACGCCTTCGTAACAGGACGATGCAAGGCCAGACCCCAGACGACCCCCGCATTGAAGCCCTCCAGATCGCATCTCAAACAGCCTTAGCGGCCAACAGCAACGGAAGCACTTGGAGGTCCAGTGAGGCAACCGACTTCGTGCACATCCCCGCCTCTTCCGCAGCCACCTGTATCGCTCTGACAACGGCCGCAGAAGCGGCGGCAGCCCTAGGATACAGGGCGGGCCTCGGGGGGGGAGGGGTCCTCGTGATAAAGACCCCCGAAAGGGTAGCGGCCCCCATACTGAGATACCTCAAGGAGAAGCTCCCCCGAGTGTATGGATCGGCAAGCGGCTCCCCTGCACGCTGCCCCCGAAGGATCCTCATGGAGGGGGGCTGGGACGGCGGCCTATTATTAATCAGACTCACCGACCCAGAGGATGGCCACCACCTTAGATGGAACCTCGCGGACCTAGGACAGACCAGTCGACAAGAAATCACGGACGCTGTAGAGGCCGCAGCAGGTACTGGAGCAGTCGAGCAGGTCTCTTCGGTATTTGCCTGGTTCCCAGACACAGGCACCCGGATCCATCCCAGTCCTCGGAGAGCTGGGGCCGCCGGCAAAGCACGTGGGCAAGCACGGATTGGAAGACCAGGGAGAAACGAATTGCCCCCAGAGGAGACGCTCACTACGCTGATAAGCGACAGCGCGGTCGGGACTTCGACCGCAAGTGAGCTTGCCTGGTCTATCCAAGGTACGACGCCCCTCCCACCTCCCCTGACCCAGGAAGGCAACCCCTTCATCGAGGGGCACTCGGAGAGGGCTCCGTCGCAAATACCCTGCTCTTGCCCTCCCCCGCGCCCCCTGGGGCGCTTCACGGTGCGCGTCTCCGCCTCGAGATACTTTTTCCCCACTACGCCTCTCCGGGGCGCGACTCTGCCCGCCTTCCCCCCGATCATGTCAATGCTCCGCGTTGCCACTCAGCCCGTCTCGGAACGCAACGCGTGCTATCTGGAAAACACCGACCTCGGCCAGCTGGGGACAGCCTCCACCTCCCAATGCAAAGTGGTATCCGTCGCGCTGACCCTTTGGGCCACATGGGACCCTGACGTGCCGTGCGGGGCCCGATTGGTTGGCAGCCCTATGGTCCTCGACCGCCCCTTTGCTGCCCACGGGCACGCAATTGAGGAGGACTACGACAACACGGATGGGTGTCCCCCCCGGGCAACGCCGTCCGTGAGTGGCCCCTTCACGACAGGGGCTCGTTTCACCGCAGTGACAGGCCCTGGCCTTAATACACGCGTCACCTCCTGGGAGTGAGGTGCACCACCCACACTGCGTCTAGACCCCCACGGGGCATCGGGGGCTCTTAGCCCGCGCGGTCTGGCTGCCATAATTTCTGCCCGCGGCTCACTCTGGCCTTGTTCACGCGGACATGGGCTCGTTTTGCCCGCTTGGGCGCTCACTTTGGATGGCGGGGGCTGCAGGCCTAAGGCCCGCCCCGTGCGCTCCGCACGCAGCTCTCCTGGCGCCTGGCGGCCTGGCCCGGGCGGCGCCCCCCCCCCACCCGGCAGGCGCCTTGCGCCGACCACCTACCGACTACGCCGTGTTGGTTCCTCGACGTTCTGTGTCGCCACATAGCTCTGCCCCTCTCCCTTGCATTCAGTTGACCTGCGGCTATCGGCTGCGCCCCCCTCTCCCCTCGCGTCGACTGCTGTGGCTGGCCATGCGACGTGTCCGAATTCTATTGACTTGCGGCTATCGGCTGCGCCCCCCCTCTACGACGCGGCCGCGGCGGGCCTTCGACGTGCACGTCCACCAGGTGCGCTCCACGCCGGCAGGGGCCCCCCCGGGCCACTGCCGTCGAGGTGGTTCCTCCACGACGGGGGCCCGTTTCACCGCGGTGACAGACTCCGACTTGGCCCTTGCGTCACCTCCTGGGGGCGAGGTGCACCACTCACAACATTGCGTTTTGATCCTACGCGTCTCGTGGGTCCTTAGTCCGTGCGGTACTGGCTGCGTTTCCTGCCCACGGATCTCTTTGGCCCCGTTCTTCGGACCTGGGCCCGCCTTGCCCGCCAAGGCACGCACTTTGGGTGGCTGGGGCTGCCGGCCTAAGGCCCACCCCATACGCTCCGACGCATCTCCGACGACTGGTGGCCTTGCCCAGTGGCGTTTCCCCCCGCGAGGCCGGCGCCCTTCGGCCACCTCACGAGTCGGACTCGGTGCCTGCATCGAGCACATGAGGTGCTCTGTGAGCGAGGGTTCCTGGTTGCAGTTGCTCGCTGTGCCCCGCCATTCGCTTCCCGCCTGACGGGTGCTGGCGCCACTGTGCGTCGCCCCGCTGTCGCTGGGTGCCGTTTTTGTGCGGCCTAATGATGTTCTCTGTTTATCGCATGTGCATTCCGTCGTTGGCTTTTGGCCCGCTGGCAATTATCTCGCTTGCTCCCTCGTGGTGCTGCTGTTGCCTGGATGCGGCGTTCGGTTCCTGTTCTTCGGCTTCATGAGGTTCATTTTGTTCCTCGCATGTGCACTCCGGCGTTGGCGTTTGGCCCGCTGGCAATTATCTTGCTTGTCGCCCCAAGCTCGCTACAACCTGCCCTCTGGAGCTTTCCCTTGGGCCGCTGAACAACAAGTATCCCCACCAGATGCCGCTTTTGCTGCTTAGTGAGGTTCATTATATTCCTCGCATGTTAAGATGCGTCTCCTTGAATTTAGTTTCTTTTGTTCTGCCCTCCTGCCCCCCTGCGGAACCCTCTGATGAGCTCATGGGCGCGGGGCTATCGCTGTCGCCTTCCTGCACCTTTGGATTCCGTAGTACTTGCGGGAGTGAGTCGTGGACTCGCTAGGGCCTGCGAGCGCTTGAACACAAGATATGCTCCGCCTGCCGCAGTCCCACTGCCTCCGTCTGGGGTATACCGTCCCGGAGAGCGTCGAGGCGGCGGCAGCTGCTGGTGATACAGGGCATGCTCTTGCTCGCCTTGGAGGGCCAGGGAGGTTCCAGATGCGGTGCTCGACGTTAAAATGACTCCTCGCCCTGTGCACGGCCACCAGCCACCGGCCCAGCCACATTCACGTGCCAGGGCATCCGTCACGCGGTGGGAAGTATGCAAGTGCACTGTGGGGCAGAGGGGCCATTATTGGTGGACGGAAAGACACTACGGAGCCTCGTGGACCTCTCTTGGAGCTATATCGAAGTTCTCCTGGGGCCTTTGGGGGGATCCTGCCCCAATCAGCGCTTGCACTGAAAGGATGCTAGCGGAGGTTGAAGAATTTGGCGAAAGTTTCCCGCCGATTTTGGTCGCACGCTGGGTTCCCGGGTTTCCGGTTCCGGGTTCCCGGGTTCATGGTTCCCGGGCCGATTTCGGTGGGCGGCGAGGTTCCCGGGTTCCTGGTCGATTTTCTTATCGATCGGTCTCAGCATCGATCTCATTTCCCACCTCTTTATCGATCTCACCATCGATCTCACAATCGATCTCACAATCGATCTCGCAAGCGATCCCACTAGAGATCACACGAGCGATCTCGCGATCGATCTCCCTATCGATCTCATTGAATCGATTTCACTCTCGGTCTCACGATCGACTTTACAGTCGTCCATTATCGATTATACTATCGATCTCACAATCGATCGCACGATCCATATGACTAATTTTCAAAGAATCCACTGATTGGGGTTTTCTCAGGTTTAATTTGAATCCTCTTGGGGTCTTGGATTTGGGGGCCTTGGGGGCCCTCTTGGTACCATATTTGAAGTCAACGATCAACAGGGAAGAGTAATAATATGGTAGGGTCCTCCCACTTGAGCCCGACAGCTCACATCCTGGAGTCCTCTTGGGGCGCTCTTGGGGGCCTTCGGGGCTGTCATGTGGCCTTTGAAGCTTCTTAGGGGCTCTCTCCTAGGTACGACCATTGAGTTCAACGGTCTCCCGCTCTTGACGAGGAATTACCGTCATCCGCGTAATTGGTGTACAATGCCTGGTTCAAAATACGAAGGGGCCACAAGCGAGAGCACCGTCTTAGAAAGAACCGCCCGTCCGTGTTGTTGCACAATGTCGCACATGTGGTAAGAGGGCTTGAGGAAATACAGCGCGAGAGCTACATTCTCGGGGGGGGAAACCCTCCATCCATGTAGTCATCGAGATGATTTTCAAACACGAATGTGCGCTGCACTAGGGCGATGCCTCATTTTGAATAGTGCGCGCCGTCAGACAAACAGTCCGTGTAGCTGTCGGAAGCCTTGACGATGTATTGAGGAGGAGGAGGAGGAGGAGGAGGAGGAGGAGGAGGAGCAGGAGGAGCAGGAGGAGGAGGAGGAGGAGGAGGAGGAGGAGGAGGAGGAGGAGGAGGAAGGGATAGGGGGAGGGATAGGGGGGGAAGAGAGGAGCGCGGGGGTCTACGTGCTCGGGCAGCCCTGGCGCAGCGGGAGGTGTGCGCGACGCGGGGCTCTGCGCTGGGCGTGCGCCTTCCTACGCGGCCGCGCCCTCCTCCTCCTCCTCCTTCTCCTCTTTCTCCTCCTCCTCCCTCCGCCTTCCTTCTCCTCCTCCTCCTTTTCCTCTCCTCCTCCTCCTCCTGCTCCTCCTCCTCCTCGCGTGCGGGGTGGCGCGAGACTCTGAACGTCGCCGCGTGCGCCACCGGCCGGCGCGGCCGCACACGAGAGAGAGAGCGGGGGCTCGGGGCGCGGCGGCCCACGCCCAGGAAGAAGCAGGAAGGGGAAAAATCGCACAGACGCAAGTCATCGTCGATTCCCCAGAAAGCATGGGAGAATAGGGGCAGTGGGGGGGAAGACAGAAAGCCAGAAACTCCTTAGGAAGATATGGGGAATCCCGCTATTTGTGTGTACTCATTCGTGTGCCCTGGGGCCCCTTCCAGGAAGCCGGGCGGCAGCCCGAGGCAGAGTGCGGCGGCGCCGAAGACAGGAGTGGCGCCCCGTGCGCCGCGCGGGGCCCGGGAGTCCGCGCCGAGCGCCCGAGGTGGCTCGTGTTCACGGCGCCTCTGCTCGGGGGTGGACGGGACCCCCCTCTTGCCCAGGGTCACGCGGGCTGGGCGAAAGGGGGGGGATTGGGCAAGGGGGGGGTACGAAATTTGCGGCACGCCGCTGGTTTCGGCCTCACCGAGGGGCCCATTCCTCGATACATGGGCGCCTCCCGGCGCCAGGAGGCGCCGGGAAAATCAGCTACGCGAGCTGAGTCTCAACCCCCCCCCTTTGCTATCCCCCCCTTTCGCCCGACCCGAGGCACTCCTGCGTGTAGCCGAAAGCAAGAGGCCGGGGGGGGCGTCCGAGCCTGCCGAGAGGGCCCGTCCCTCCTCGCTTCCCCCCCCCGCGGGCGCGCCGCCCAGAGAGGCACACCTCCGGATCTGTGGGGCCCCGCGGGCCGGGCCCCTTTGCTCCAGCAGCGGCGCGAGGCGTCCCGGCTCGCGTGCAGGTTTTTGGCGTCTCTCGGAGGTGTGCCTTCTGTCTCGGGGCTGGACAGGCCCCCCAACAGTGACACGTCGATCAGTGCATTGTCCGTTTTCGGTTCTCGAGAGGGCGCCGCGGCCGTTCTTTTCCGGGCCCGCGCCCGCCAGGCTTGGGCCTCGGGTCGTTCTCACTGAACCACGTTTTGCTAAAGGGGGTCTGTCCATCCCCGATGTTCTGCTGCTAGAGAGGCGAGGCTCGACCTTCGCGAGGCTCGGCCTCGAGAATCGTGCTGCCCGTGCCTCTCCTCTGGGGCCCCTTGGGGAGGCCCGCGCCGCCGCGGCTGCGCACGCGCCACAGGGTCCTCCTCTCCGTCGGGGGGCATGGGGCTAGATTTCGGACAGGGCGAGGCGAGGGGTGGCTCTGCGACGACGACCACGGACGACGCACGACGACGACGACGAGAAATAGGACGGCGACGACGACGACGACGACGACGACGACGACGACGGCGGACGACGGACGACGGACGACGGACGACGGGTGACGACGACGACGGACGACGACGACGACGAAAACGACGACGAGGACGACGACGAGGACGAGGACGAGGACGACGGAGACGACGACGACGAAGACGAGGACGAGGACGACGACGAGGGACGAGGACGACGGCGACGACGACGACGACAATGGCGACGACGACGACGATGACGAAGAAGACGATGACGACAACGACGACGAGGCAAGATGACGACGATGGACGACGGACGACTGTTGGCGACGACAACAATGACAAGGAATAGGAAGACGACGGCGACGGCGGCGACGACGACGACGACGACGACGGACGACGACGACGACGACGACGACGGCGGGCACGAGGACGACGGCGACGACGAAGACGACGACGACGACGACGACGGCGACGACGACGACGGACGACGGACGACGGTCGTCGACGACGACGACGAAGGCGAGGACGACGACGACGAGGACGACGACGCCAACGACGGGGACGACGACGACGCCCGACGACGACGACGACGACGGCGACGATGACGACGATGACGAGGACGACAACGACGACGACGACCACGACGACGGCGACGACGACGACGGACGACCACGAAGGCGAAGAGTAGGACGAGGACGACGAGATCGACGACGGACGACGACGACGACGAACGACGACGGGGACGACGCCGACGGACGACGAACAACGACGACGACGGACGACGACGACGACGGCGAGGAATAGAACGACGATGACGACGAACGACGACGACGAGGACGACGACGGACGACGACGACGACGACGGACGACGATGACGACGTCGACGAGGCATAGGACGACGACGACGACGACGACGACGGGGACGTCGGGGACGACGACGACGCCGAAGACGACGGTGAAGACGACGACGACGACGACGACGACGACGACGACGGACGACGAATACGACGACGACGGGCGACAACGACGACGATGGACGACGACGACGACGACGACGACGGACGACGGTCGACGGACGACGGACGACGGACGACGATGACGTCGACGAAAACGGACGACGGGCCACGGTCACGGGCGACGGACGACGACTACGACGACGAGGACTACGACGGCGACGACGACGACGAGGACGACGACGGTGGAGACGACTGTCGCGACGACGATAACGACGGGGACGACAACGAGAAGGACCGACGAGGACGACGACGACGAGGACGAGGACGACGACGACGAGGAGGACGACAACGAGCGGGACGACAACGACGACGCCGACGGACGACGACGACCAGATCGACGACGGACGACGACGACGAGGACGGCGGTGGCGACGACGACGACGCCGACGACGACGACGACGCACGACGACGTCGACGACGACGACGACGACGAGGAAGACGACGACGACGACAGCGATAGCGACGACGGACGAGGACGACGACGACGACGACGTTGGACGACGGACGACGACGACTACGACGACGACGACGAGGACGTCGGACGACGACGACGCCGAGAATGACGAGGACGACAACGACGACGACGACGGATACGACGACGACGACGACGAAGGCGACGACGACGACGACGTTGGGCGACGGACGACGACGAGGATGACGACGACGACAAGGAGGGCGTCGGCGAGGACGACACTGACGACTACGACGACGACAGCGACGACGACGCCGACAACGTCGGCGACGACGACGGATGACGGACGACGACGGACGACGGACGGCGACGGACGAGGGACGACGGACGACGACGGACCGGACGACGGGGACGACAACCACGACGACCGACGACGAACGACGACGACGACGAGAACGACGGCGAGGACGGGGACGACGGCCTCGTCGACGACGACGACGACGGGGACGACGACGACGACGACGACGACGATGGGCGACGGACGACAACGACGACGACAACGACGAGAACGACGGCGTGTACGGGGACGACGACGACGACGAGGACGACAACGACGACAACGATAACGACGACGGAAGACGACGACTGACGACGACGACCAGGATGACGACGTCGACGACGACGTCGACGACGACGAGGACGACGATGACGACGACGACGACGGCGACGACCGACGTCGGGGACGACGACGACGACGCACGACGACGACGACGAAGAGGGACGAGATCGACGACGGACGCCGACGACGCCGACGACGACGACGGACGACGGTTGACGACGACGACAACAACGACGACGACAACCGACGACGTCGACGACGACGATGACGACGACGTCGACGACGACGACGACGACGACGGCGACGACGACGGACGACGGACGACGATGACGACGACGACGAGGACGACGACGATCTGACGTCGTCGACGACAACGACGAGATTGCCTTCGACGACGGACGACGGAGTGCAGACGCCACGTCATTTACCATGGAGCGCGGCCTCCGGAGCGCGGACGCAGCGTAATTTTCGAGAGATCGTGGCCCAGGGATCGCGGACGCAGCGTAGTTTACGACGGATCGTGGCCCAGGGAGAGCGGGCGAAGCGTACTTTACGAGGGATCACGGCCTTGGGATCGCGGACGCAGCGTAGTTTACGACGGATCGTGGCACAGGGAGAGCGGACGCAGCGTCTCTTGGGGACCAGAATTCAGCGGATCTCTCAAGCGAAGTGCTTGTTTTCACGTTCCCAGGTCTTGAGGATGTCTCGAGCGAGACGCTTGGTTTCACGTGTCCAGGTTGCCCAGGCAGAATGAGGATTTGTTGAGGATGTCTCGAGTGAGACGCTTGTTTGCGCGTGGCCAGGTTGCCCAGGCGGATGTCTAGCATGAGGATGTGTCAAGAATGTCTTGAGCGAAACGCTTGTTTTCACGTGTCCAGGTCGCCCAGGCACAGCACAGCCCTCGGCACGGTACATCGAGATCGATAGATACACTCAGCATTGCAATTTGGCATGTTCCTTGGCACGTCCCGTGGCGAGTCCCCCTGGCACGTTGCGCGGCGCGTCCCTTGGCACGTCCCGTGGCACGCCCACTGGCACGTTCCGTAGCGCGTCCCCTTGGCACGTCCCGCGGTGCGTCCCCATGGCACTTCCCTTGGCACGTCGCCTGGCGCGTCCCTTGGGAAGTTCCACGGCGCGTCCTCCTGGCACGTCCCCCTGACACTTAGCTCTGGGGCGGCTACTATGTACTCAGACAGCTCGAGGTTAAGATCCAGATCAGTTCGGTCAGGACTCGGATGCAACGGAGTACTCGATCCACAAAGCTGTAGAGCACAATCGCTGCATGGCACCTCGCAGTTCAGCACGGCGCAGCACGGCACGGACCTCGGCACGATACGCCAATAGCGATACACTCAGCATTGCAGTTTGGCACGCTCCCCCGGCACGTTCTGTGGCGCGTCCCGCGGCGAGCCCCCCTGACGTCGGACGTCGCGCTGCGAGAGTCCCCTGGCACGTCCCGTGGCACGCCCACTGGGCACCTGCCCGCGGGCCTCGGCCCGGGCGCCTCGCGCTCGGCCCCTGGGGCCCCCGGGTCGGTGCGCCGGCCTCCCCGGTGCAGCCGTCTGCCTCAAGCAGTGGCGAGGCGTCCCGGCTCGCCCACAGCCCCACCAGAAAATGTTCTAAGAACCTTTCCCAGATGGTCTGGTACCGGAAATTTTCGGTAGCGATTTCGACGCACCCCGAATTTCGGTAGCGACCGGATCTTCGTTTGAGGGCGTTGAAATAGCGGATTTCAGAACGGTCTGATACCGGTATTGGGCGCTACATTTCGGTATTTCTGTAGCGACCGATCTCTGCGGAGCACTACCGGAAATTTTCGGTAGCGGACCATCAGGGCACCAGAAGATGTTCTAAGAACTTGTTTCGACTGCACGTAAGAGTGACCTTTCGCCGGAGTGACCCGTTGGTGCGGGCCCAATGGGGTCCCCCGATCGCTGAGCGCAAAGCGGTAACGGCGGCTTGCGCGCCCAGGTTTGGCCCAACCCGCGTCCCCCGTTTTGCCGCGCACCAAAGGTTACTCTTACCCAGGGTCACTCTTACGTGTAGCCGACTTTTGTGGTTTCCACGACATGTTCTTAGAGCATTTCTGGCTGGGACCGTCTTGTTCTAGCACAACGGGTTTATGTTCTGAGGACATTGTTTTCGTTCTTAGGACATGTTTGGGTTCTAAGACCATTCCGTGGCATGACTTCTAGGAATGTCGGGACGGTCGGTCCCTGCTCAATTTCTTGGGCCAGCGCCCCCAGGCGCTCTGGATCCTCCTCTTAAGGATGGCCCCTGGGCCTTCTCGGCGGCGAGCGGGGGGGGGAAGTGAGAAGGAGAAGACCCTCTCAGGAGGTGGCGAGGCTTCTCAGCAGCCCTCCAGCCCTCTGAGGAGCTTTCAGTGTCTTCGGGGCAGTCTTCGAGAGCTTCTCAGAAGGACGGGGGATTGCCGAGCCTTTGAGAAGGCCTTCTCCTTCCCACTGTCCCCCCTCGCTCGCCGCCGAGGATGGCCTCTGGGCCTTCGAATGCCTAGCTGATGGACGAGCGTGGCCCCCACGGAGTGTGTCTTCTTCCATACTCGCCCTCCTACTCAACCCTTGGGATGCAACTCCTGGGAGGTGAAGTTCTGCATCGGCGCTGGTATTTTCGCGGTCAATCGCCGGCTTAATCTGGGCTTAGCAGGCTGAATCCGGCTTAATCTCAATTAATCACGCTTAACATTGGGGTAAATCCAGCCTGGTCCGGTGGCATGGCCTTTGAATCTAGCATAATCGTGTTTAAATCGTTCCAACGAAGACCTCCCATAAGTTGCTTCCTAACATCCCCGTTCCCCTGCCCCGACGACGACGGCGACAGGCATGACGAGGCCGCTGACAACAACGACGACGACAACGACGGCAAAGGCGAGGACGAGGGCGAGGGCGACGGCGACGACGAGTGCGTCGAGGGCGATGACGACAATGACGATATCGAGCACGGCGGCGGCGGCGACGACGGCGACGACGGCGGCGCGTCGCCCGCCAGCTCTGGGTGGCGCTGTTCATGCGGCGCTGTCGTCGGCGTCGGCGCGGTCGTCGTCGTGGTTGTCGTCGGCGTCGGCGGCGGCGTCGGCAGCGGCGTCGGTCGGCGTGTTGGTCGTCGCCGTCGTCGGCGGCTGCGCCGCCGTCGGCGGCGGCGAGGGCGGCGGCGGCGGCGCCGTCGTCGGCCGCCAGCCCTGGGTGGCGCTGTGGATGCGGCGCAACCTCCGGGACGAGACGCTGCAGAGCTCGGCGGAGGCCCCCGCGCGCCCCCCCTGTGGCCGAGGGCCAGGCCCGCGGGCCGCCTTCGAGGGCCTCCGAGAAGGCCCGGCCTCGTCCTCACCCTCGCCACTCGTTCCCGCCCCCGCCTCTGTCCCCTCGCTGCCCCCAGCTTCCCAGCCTCTGGCCTGCTCCTCCCCCGCGCAGCCGTCCCTGCTCGTCCGCCTCCTCCTCTCCTCCCTCCGCCGCCTCCTCCGTGCTCTTCCCGAAGCGGAGGAGGAGGAGGAGGGATGAGAAGGAGGAGGAGGAGGAGGAGGAGGAGGGATGAGAAGGAATACGGAGGAGGAGGAGGAGGAGGAAACGGAAGAGGGACTGCATGGCGGACGAAGGGAGAAGGAAGGGTGAGGCAGGAGGTTGTGGTCCCTACACGCGGGCCCTGGAGCTCCCGATCCCCCTCCCTGGGGACCGACGGCTCGTTCCCAGGACCCCCTCCGCGCTCTCCCGAAGAGTCTCGCCTGCATCCTGGGGAGCTGGTCGGACTTGGCTGGATCCGGAGCCAGTCGGCGACGTGTCCCCCTGTCCCCCTGATCCTTATATCCCCCTGCCGTTCGCCCTTGTCCGATACGCTGATCCCCAGCCACAGATCCCTGGCTGGCCTCATATCCCCAGCTCCATCTCCCTAGCCCCATCCCGATCCCAGCATCGTAGCCCCCCATCGTGACGAGGGTGGTTTCGGGCCGTCCGCCGCGAGGGAGCCACTGGTTTCCCTCCTGTGCGGCCCCAGGGCCCGAGAACGGGACCTCGAGGCCGAAAGGTGCACAAAGGGGTACAAGTCTTGAGTGTGTCAAGACGTTGGAGATCTGGCTCTCTTCCCTTCGGGCCCACCCTCGATCCTCCCGTCCTAAATTCTCGATCCGCGATTCACCTCCTCCCTTCTCCTCCCTCCACATCGTAACCCTCATCGGTCTTCCTGCGCCGAATCCTCGACACTTCCGCGTCGATCCTCCCTCCCTCCCTACCTCCTTCCCTCTCTCTGCCTGGTCGATCCTCCCTCCCTCCCTCCCCCTCTTGCCCCTCCTAGATCCTCCTGCTCCGAATTCTCCTCCCCGGCCGATGGTGCGTCTCGCCCGATGCTGCCCCTCGACCTTCCAGTCCGAACCCTCGATCCCGGGTCGATCATCCCTCCCTCTTTCTCCTGCCCTTCCTCGATCCTCGTGCCCCGAATCCTCTATCCCCGATCCCCCTGCCGGGTCGACCTCCACTCCCTGCTTACCCTTGCGCTTGCATTATTAATCGCTTTGCTCATTCCGCCAGCCCGGGAGCCCTCTTTAGGGCCTCTCGGGGGCCTCTTGGGGACCTCTTGGGAGTCTCTTGGGGCTCCTTGGCGGCGTCTTGGGGGCCCCCAGGGCCTCTTGGGGGGCTTTTGGGGGCCTCGTGGGGCGGGAGGGGGGGTAGTCGATTGCGGCTCCCCCCTCGGATGCCACGATCCTCGTGAGGGGTGTCGAAAAATGGCCCTCCCTTGGAGTGCTCTGGGGGCTTCTCCCGGCTAGTTGCTGGGGTACTTTTCATCTGGGGGCCCCCAGGGGCCGCTCTGCGCGCGCGAACTAGAAATATTGTTAACCAGTTACCGGAGATCTTAGCACGCTTCTGGCCCGTTGGGCCGGCGAACTTTGCGGAGCTGGGCTCCCTGGCGCCGTCGGCCGAACGACCCGCATCGCGGGACATTCTGGTGACACGGGTCGCCGCCACAAAAATCTTCGGCTAAAACGTTGGCCGCGTCAACGCGCCGCCGAACAGGATGTGCAGCGCGCCTCCCCTCCCAGCGCGAGCCGGGAAGCGGCTCCCGCCGCGCCAGCCGTCTCGGGGCGGCGCCCGAGACATCCTCCAGAGCCGCGGGATCTCATAGATATATACAGACTTACGCCGCATCCGCCGACCCCGTGTTATATTATGTGGTCTTCTCTGGAAACCGCGGCCCTTGGGCCTTCTTGCATCCCTCTTGGGCGCCTTTTGAGCTGTCTTGGACGCGATGCTTGCGATATATCCTCACCCGGTTTTGCCCTCGTCCTGGCTTCCTCTGATTGACCCGGGCGAGCGCACAGGATCCTGCAGGAGTTTGCTGCATCCTGCAACGCCCGGCTGACCCGGCTTCCCGAAAATCACCTCCTCCGTTCCCCGGAGATCATCGCGGCCAATATGGCGTCTGAGCAGGGCCTCCTCCTCCCCCTCCTGCTCCTCCCCCTTCTTCTCCTCCTCCTCCTCCTCCTCCTCCTCCTCCTCCTCCTCCTCCTCCTCGTCCTCGTCCTCCTCCTCTATCTTCTCCTCCTCCTTGCTCCTCCTCCTCCTTCTCCTCCTCCTCCTCCTCCTCGCTCCTCCTCCTCGCTCCTCCTCCTCCTCCTCCTCGCTCCTCCTCCTCCTCCTCCTCCTCCATCTCCTCCTCCACCCCCCTCTTCCTCCCGCCTTCCCTCCAGAGCCGGCAGGAGGGGTGAGCTCGACGCTCGAGAGGCATCGGGGTCCGAGGCCCCTGGGGGTTCGGGCGCTGCGCCGGTCCTCGTCAGACCTCCAGCCCCGGGATGCTTTAGAGCGGCTGCGCTTGGTCGAGGTTCCGGGGGCCCCAAACCGGTTGTGGAGGACGATCAATGGAGAGGAAGCGTGTTGCCATATAGTTTCCATATATCTAGAACATGTGTTGAACATGTTTCAAACATTAAAAACATGTTTAGAACATGTTTAGAACATTTTTCCGACATTTGAAACACATTTTAAATTCAATGATAGGATTGTTAGGGTGTCCATTGTCGTGGCGTCCACAAGGGTTCGGGGCCACCGCACGGTTTTGGGACTCGGGTCGTTCTCCGAGGACAGCTCGGGCGACGGGGGCCTCCAGGGTCCCAAGGCCGTGCGGTGGCGGACCAGTGCGGCGAGGTCTCGCGGGATCTCGAGGTCACCGCACAGTCTATCACCGCACCGTTTCGGGACTCCAAAAGGTCAAGCAGTGGCGAAACGTCTTGGCTCGCCTACAGCCCTACCAAACAATGTTTTAAGAACCTTTTGTGGTTTCCACGAAGTGTTTTTAGAACATGTCTGGTGGAGTCTGTTTCGTTTTTTTCCCCCATCGGGCTTATGTTCCACGAGCATTGTGTTCTTCTTCGAACGTGCTTGGGTTCTAAGAACATGTCTTGGTAGGACTATAGGAATGCCAGGGCGGTCGGTCCCTGCTCAATATGGCCAGGTCCATCTTGGGCCCTGGACTGGTGTATAGAGTCTATACACCAGTCCATACTATACTATAGTCTACTACTAGGCCTGGAGGTCTGTACTACAGACCTCCAGGCCTAGGCCAGGAGGACCTGTACACCAGTCAAGGGCCCAGGATGGGTCTGGCCAGGGCTGGTTGTGGTGTATTGTTTGGAGCTGTCCTGAGAGGGCCGGGAGCGGGCAGGCCGGTCCCTGCTCCAAAAGGTTCGGGGCTGGCCGGACCGTCGCGAGCGGCCGCTGGTGGCCTCGGTGATGGCTCGAACACCATGACTTGCCGTGCCCTCGGGGGGCGCAGGCAGGCAGCGGAGCGCGCGCTGCCGGCGCTCGTCGTCTCGCCTCCCCCTCGGCTTGCATCCCACCTTCTTGTAGGTCTTGTACTGTGGAGGGTCCATTTCGAGGAAGCATGTTGCCAAATTCGCCGGCCCAACGGGCCAGAGGCGTGCCGAGATCTCCGGTAACTGGTTCACAGTATCTCTAGTTCGCGCGCGCGGGGCGCCCCGGGGGTCTCTTGGGGGCTTGTTGGGGCGCCTCTTGGGCGCCTCTCGGGGCGTCTCGGAAGCCTCTTGGGCCGTCTTTGGGCCGTTTTGGCATGTCGGACCGTCTTGGAGCCGTCTTGGACCCCTCTTGGACCGTCTTGAGCGCCCAAGACGGCCCAAGAAGCGCCCAAGAGGCCTCCAAGACGCCCCGAGCGGCCATTAGGTCCCATCCCTCCGCCCCTCCCCCCCTCTGCACTCCCCCTAGAGGGCTTCGCCCAAACACAACGTCATCACTCATATCTCGCTCTTTCTGTTATTCTACCATAGCTGGATCGAGAATTTGTCGGATTATGTCTGAGCTTGCCCGAACCTTGACTGGAATTTATTTGAGCTGGGTGCAGTCCCGCAGGATCCTTTTAGAGTTGGATCGAGTGTCAATCGGATTATATGAGTGCTGGATCGAGCCCTCGTAGGTTTCGATCGGAGCTGTGTCCAGCCTTATAAGAATCCGGTTCGAGTTAGATCCAGCCCCAGTAGGATTCGATTAGACGTGGGGCGCAATCCAGTAGGATTCTGCAAGAACTGGGTCGAGCCCGAATAGAATTCTGTCAGCGCCGGCGCTTGGCGCGGGCGCTGGCAGCAGGTGCGCCGCCACCGCTGACGTCGTCGCCGTCGTCGGCGCCGTCGTAGGCGCTGCGTAGTGGTCATACACGTAGCTCCGTAATTCCTCTCTCTCCTCGTCCGCCCTCTCCTCCGCCTCCTCCTCCTCCTCCTCCTCCTCCTCCTCCTCCTCCTCGTCTTCCTCCTCCTCCTCCTCCTCCTCCTCCTCTTCTGCCCAATTATCCGGACCAGCCAACGGTTGAATTAGAGGGTGCCATCTCGCCCCCCCTCATTTGCCCACTGCTTCAGCGGCAGCGTTTATGGGGGGGGGACAGACTTCAGAGGAGACGCATCGACCTCCGATCGCCCACTCGTCGCCGATGGGTCCCCGATGTGCGGGCCCCACGGAAACGCACCACCCCCACCTCCACTCCTCGTCCGTCCGCTTCCTTGCCTTTCCTCTTCCCCTCTCCTGCTTGGCGTCGCTCGGACGTGTGCCTTTTTTCTCGGCGTGGGCCATTGAGGAGCGTTTTTGATCATTTGGCGAAAGATGCACGCACGAAATCGAAAAATGCACGGGGAATGGTCGTCCGAGCGATGGCGGAGTGGGAAGGGGCGGGGGAGGAGGTGATGATGGCGTATACCGTTTAGCCCCGTACGATTGCCCACCCTGCCAACCAACGTGCGGGTTGGCCATCGGGGGGCCCCTCGCGGAGCTGCCCGCGATGCATCGCCGAGCCTGGCTCGAGGCCCCCCCCTGGAGGCAACAGGCCCTGAGGGGCACGGGCCCCCGGCGCCCTCCAGGGGCCCAGGTGCGGTCAGAAAGCGACCCCGGAGGAAGAGCGGGTCTCGGGGGAATCGGGGGCGGCAAAGAGGGGGGTTATGACTAGGGGGGGCTGGATATCATGGCGTGGGCCATGATACTTCGCCAGATCGCATGGCGCCTCTTCTTGTTTCATTACGTCCCCGGCCCCCCCCTGGGCCGCGCACGTGCCGCCGGCCATGATTTGCACCCCCCCATCTTGGACAAGTCTTGGCCGCCCCCGAGAAGAGCGTGTCTCGGGAGAAGGCCCCAGGGTGAAGTCGGGCCTGTACCTCGACAGGAGGGATATGCAAGAATATAATCCAAAAATAGCCTGGGGACGATGTTTGAGGGATTTGTTGCATATTTGTTGCGCATTTTCGGTGTATCTTTTATTTTTCGTCCTTAATCCGCCTGTAGGAGGACACGCTTGATTGAATTTCGGGGTTTAGGACCCTTTCCCCTCAGGACCCGCTTCTCGCATGCCAGGAGGCGGTCACGTCACCTGAAGGGTCAGTAAGCCCGCGCGGACGCGCGGGCGGGCAAGCCAGCCCTACCATCGAGCACCCTGCAGTAGGGCCAGCTCAGCAATGTGACGGTGGACAAGAGAGCCTGCACCTGATTTGTCCTTTTGTCCCACGCTAATCGATACGACAGGTTCGCGTCTTGTCGACCGGCAGCGACCCCAGCGCGGGCGTTTAAGGTTGAACGCCGCTTGTGGCCCATCCATCCTTGAACGATCCGTCCTTTTTGAAAGGGTCGATCGTTCAAGCTTGAACGATCCCCGCGGTGTCAGGAACCAACACCGGAGTCGACACGACGCGAGCCTGGCATACCCCCCGCAACGTCCCCTCCTCCCTCTCCGAGCGCACCCCCCCCCGTCCCGGCCAGCAGGCCGACGGCCCGTCGGCGGCGCTGCGCGTGCTGGACGTGCCCGAGGACGAGGACCTGCTGAACGTCGGGATGTGGGAGGACAAGGCGAGTCCGGCGGGAGTGGGGGGGCGGGAACGGGCGGGGCCAGGACGAGGGCAGACCAGAGCGTTTCGGAGCGCTCTTTCCTCCTCCTCCTCCTCCTCCTCCTCCTCCTCCTCCTCCCTCCTCCTCCTCCTCCTCCTCCTCCTCCTCCTCCTCCTCCTCTCCGGAACGCTCTGAGGAGGCCGCGGCGCCCGATACATCCTCCAGAGCCGCCGGGTCTCAGAGGTTCCCGATTTCCGTTCACCCGATTGTATCCTCGCCTTGGCTTCGCCTTGGGAAAAGGCACCCATACCGCGACCCGTCCCTCGCTTTTCCCCCTTCTTGGGCCTTCCGGAAGGGCCCCGTCGCCACCGCCGGATGCGCCTCGAGATCCTGGTCAGAACGCGCCCCGGGAGAGGTCTTGGGAGCAGCGGTATCGGTACCATTCGACTTCCCCGGGGGAGGGATGGTTACCCCGTGGCATCTACAATTTGTCCACGCTGCGCTGGTCCTACTTGTAGTGCAGCCGTCCGATTTCGCAAGAAGCATTCGTTCAGGCAGCGAGTTATCACATGTTCGTGCCCGGCATATTGCCCTTGTTTTTGAGGGCCAGGATTCAAGCATATCAGCGTTTCGCGCATCCCACAAACCAATCCAGACACGATGCCCATCGGAGGAGCGTGCCATCATTTTGAGAGATCGGGGGGAGGTGAGGGCCAGAGGCCCCTTGGATGCCTCCTTGGTGTCTCTTGAGGGCCTCTTGAAAGCATCTTGGGGGCCCTCTTGCCAGCTCTTGGGGGGGCCTCTTGGAGCGTCTTGGTGCCTCAAGGGCGCCTCTTGGCGCCTCTTGGGCAGCCTCTTTGAGGGCTCTCTCAAGGGTTTTTCGTGCCGTCATGGGGCCATCTCTCAAGGGTTGTTCATGCCGTTAAGGCTATCGATCAAAGCAAGGGGTTCCTCGAATAGACTCCCCCATGGAGGTCAAAATCGGTACAACACCTCAGGAACATCAATGTGGTTTGCCTTTTCGCTGAATCCTTCTTGGACGATCCAACGACTCGCGTGGAGCCCCGTCCAGCGGTGGAGGTTGGGGGGGTCAAGACCTCTCCCAGACCCAAACTGTTTGGTTCACTCCCACCCGCCCTCCCAACACATAAGTAGTACCCGAGTCTCAGCATATTCAGCGTTCATCTTTGGATGGACAGCTACTGGGAACCAATGGAGACCCCAGGTGCGCGACGCTGGGGCGAGGTGATCCACGTGTGCCAGGCGCACCATGCGCACCAGGCGCGCCAGGCGCCCCTGGGGCCCAAGCAGGCCATGCACGCCTGGTGCGCCAGATGCGCCAAGTGCTCCACGTGCGCCAAGTTACCCGAGTGCTCCAGCCGCGCCAGGTGCGGCGCCACGTTCGGTGCACACGCAGAGTGTGCCAGGCACGCCTGCTCACATCGGGAAACCTTCCGGCCCCCACCATCCTTGTCGAAAGCCAGTGCGCAATCGCGGAGGAGAGGCCATCATGATGTCTGGTGGGCTTGAGTAGACGGCAAGCTGCCAGCATCCCCGCCGTCCCCGTCAAAAACCCATGCAGAGTGATCGCGGGGTCCCCGCGCATGATCCAGGTTCACCCGCAAAGTGGCGTTTGTGTTGTATTTGGCAGGGGTGGTGGCCGTGCGCACAGCAGGCCAAATGCTGGCACCCCCGCCGTCCCTGCCAACAACAATACTAAAAGGCTCGCGCCCCCCCTCGAACACGACCCAAGATGCTGCCGCAAAGTGCCTGTTGTTTTTCCGAACCATCTTGTGGTGTTGGGTTCTCGGTTTGAATACACACCGCCCCGCGTCACCTCCTCTCCTCTCCTCCTCATCCCTCTCCTTCCTCTTCCCACCACCATCATCATCTCCGTCGTCATCATCATCATCGTCGTCATCATCATTGCCAAGGCGATGGTGCAGGCGGGCAGGGACTACCGCACGGCGGCGAAAGACCTCAATGGGAAGCCCAAGGGCGAGACCGACCTGCTGGGGCCGCCCTTCCTCCACGTCTTCGAGGAGCTGGCTCGAGCGGCCCATGGGCTGGCGGCGGAGAACCACAAGGTCGTGCTGAGCAAGTTCTGGGAGGAGGTCATCCCCCAGAAGCCGCTGATGGAGGTGGTGGAGCAGGTGAAGCACTGCCGCTGCAGGCTGGTTCGCAAGAAGGAACGGGTGGGCAACAAAGTTCGCATCGCGCTGTGCTTCAGCAGCCTGTGGCAGGAACTCGACTGCGCGGTGCTGTCGGCGCTGAGGGTGGCCGACACCGAGTTCAAAGCGGCCCCCCACCAAGGGGCCCGCTGGAGCGCGAAGTGAGCAAGCCCCTGGACGATCTCAACAAAGTGTGAGCGAGGTGAGTCCTGCGGAGATGGAGAAGTTGGCCAGTTGATTTTTCTTTGAGCGTATGGCTAGCACGTTGCGAGCTGGGCTGCTTGACCTAGGTTTGGTTGTGTTTTTTTTGAGGCGGGAGGAGGGGAGAGAGGTCCCCCCGCTTTGTCGAAGAAGAAGAAGGCCAGGACATCAGCAATCCATCGGACCGTCAGAGGACAGTGTTCAAAGACATTAGGTCGTAGTAAAGGCTAGGTATGGCTGTCGTGCTGACTGGCCAGCTCTAGCGGGCCACCCGCCTCAGCGGCGCCAGCGAGCCCCAGCCCTGATGAGGTCAGGCCTGCTGCTGGTACCTTTGCTGCAATGTCGATTGATGGATCAGCATCATCATCGACATCATCGTCCCCATCATCATCGTCATCATCACCCCACCACCCCATCATCCCATCATCATCATCATCATCGTCATCATCATCATCGCCACCTCCGTCCGCACAGCAATCATCATCGGCGTCGCCGTCATCATCGTCACCGTCATCACCATCATCACCATGATCATCGCCATCATCATCGTCATAGCCATCGTCATCGCCACTAAAATCACAATCGTAATCATCATCCTCATTTTCGTCCATATCGTCGTTGTCGTCGCCGTCGTCAGTGTAAAGTCATGATCACCTACATTGCCGTCACCAAGTTGGCACCCCCCACACATTTCGTGGCCCCATTGGTAACTCCACCGAAGGCCCCAGTGGCGGTGTCAACATGCGCCCGCGCCACCCATGTCGGCATACCCTTCACACGTTTTGGCCCCATCGGGAGCTCCACGGAAGGCCCCAGCGCCGGTGACCACATGCGCCCGCGCCATACATGTCGGCACACCCTTCACGCGCTTCGTGGCCCCATACGGAGCACCACCCAAGGCCCCAGTGGCGGCGCCCACATGCGTCCGCGCTACCCATGTCGGCACACCTCGCACACGCTTCGTGGCCCCATAGGGAGCTCCACCGAACGCCCCAGTGGTGGTGGGCACACGCGCCCGCGCTTCCCATTTCGGCACACCCCCGAAACGCCTCGGGTACTCATAGGGAGCTCCACCGAAGACCCCACTGGCGGTGCCCACATGCGTCCGCGCCACCCATGTCGGCACACCCCTCACGCGCTTCGTGGCCCCATAGGGAGCTCCACCGAAAGCCCCACTGGCGGTGCCCGCAGTGCCCACATGCGTCCGCGCTACCCATGTCGGCACACCCCGCACACGCTTCGTGGCCCCATAGGGAGCTCCACCGAACGCCCCAGCGCCGGTGGCCACATGCGACCTCGCCATACATGTCGACACACCCCTCACGCGCTTCGTGGCCCCATAGGAAGCTCCACCGACAACGCCAGTGGCGGTGCCCGCATGCGCCCGCGCCACCCATGTCGGCGCACCCCTCACACGCTTCGTGGCCCCATAAGGGGTTCCACCGAACGCCCAAGTGGCGGTGTGCGCATGCGCCCGCGCCACCCAGTTCGGCAAATCTCTCATACGCCTCGTGGCCCGGAAGGGAATTCCACCGAAGGTCACAATAAGCATATCAAATCACATGGTCTTTTTGGGGGGCGACGGCACTTCCCGCGCTGTGGGTAGAAAGGACGCGGGCCAGTGCAACCTGCCCGATCTCGAGGGGGACGTGAAGTTCACGGAGGTCGCGGCTTGGTGGAAGCATTCGGCGTTGTTGCGCAGCGGTGGACTTTCAGCGGCGTGCAGCAGCAATGATTGCGGGCAGTGCAACGTCCCCCCTCTGATTGATGGCGTCAGCTACACGCATGTCGCCGCCGGGGCGATCTATACCAGAACGAACAAAAGTACCGGGGACTTCTGTGGTTTGCGGATTGTCCACGGGCAGCGAGGGCATCGAATTTCGTGTCCCAGGCACGGGCGCGGGCCGCGGCGCCTCGCTCGATGCTGCGGCAGGCGACGCTGGAGAACCTCGCGGTGATTTTCCATGCAGTGGCGGGCGAGGAGTGCATGAGGACCGCAATCTCGTCCGCAATTTTACTGGAAACGATTTGGCTTATGATGTTCCGAACTTTTTTAAAGCTTCGACCACCAGAAAGAATTTCGAACACCAGAAAAGTACAGAATTTCAATAGTTTTCACGTGTCGGGCCCTGAGAGACTCCTAAGACACTGTTTCGACACTGTTTCGACCCCTTTCTGGGTGTTCGAAATTATGTTTGGGATGTGGTCCTTAAGTACGATGGGGACAACATAAGATTTGGCGTGTTATGAAATTTGTTTGGAAAGTGGCCCAGTGCCGGGCGCGGTGCCAGGATACTCGACGCAGGTCGGCCGGGGGGTTTGGCTGCTCACAGACGCTTGCGCGAAGGGCGACGCCAGCGTGAGCGCCCCCGACGCCCCGAAAATGGGCGCCGGCCATCGAGCTTTTTCCTTGCCAGCCTTAGGTCGGGCCTGTCCCTTTACAGATTGAATATTCAAAAAATAGTATTAAACAACTATGCTGATGTGTTGGGGATGTTGTTTTTGATTAATTCTTGCGTCTGTTTTAACTCTTGTTTGTTTTTCTTCGAGAATCCGCCTGTAGGGGGACATGCCCTGCCTAATGCCAGCCCTCCGAAACATTTGCGTTCGCAGCTGGACAGGTTCGCCACGCGCGCTAACCAGTGCAGGAGGAAGGCGAGGGAACTGGCCAGGGAGCCGGGCTTCAGCGAGTTCATCCGCGAAGCCTGAGCTGAGGGGTTGCCGTGACGGTTAGCCGCGCGCGAGCCAGCGGCGCGCGATGGCTGTCGCAGACGCTTGGATGGCCCCAGCCCGTCGTCGGAACCCCTCGCCAGAGGGTGACCGGCGCTTGTCGGTGGGGATTCCAACCACATCGCGTTTTTTTCGCGTCGCCTCGCCGCGCAGTGCGGTTGTGGATGACCCCCGCGCGTCCATGGGATTCCCTGGGATGACCGGACACCGTCGGCGGGGATTTCCCAGTCATTTGCGCGCGGCGCCGCCTGCGCGGTGCGTTCGGCGCGGCTCGCTATAGGCCTGGAGACAAAATTTCCCCCCTCACCTCCCGCTCCTATTGCCTCCATCACCTCCTGACCGCCCGCCCGCCCAGTCCCGTGTTTGCTGCTGCCGCCTTGCCCCTGGCATCCTCGCGGTGCCTCCATGACTCTTATCCTGCGTGCAAATGCCAAGTCTCAAGATGCACTGATGCTGACGTAGCGCCTCGCCTGATAGAGCCCTCCTGCTCCGCGCGTCGCCCCCGTGCCGCAGCGCCTTGCGGCTCGTCCTCCCTGCGGCGCGCTGCCTGTGAGAGAGGGGCCCGTCCTCGCGCCATTCGTAGTTAGCTTGCCCCCCGCTTTCGTGTCAAATCTTTCCGTGGTATTCGCAGCTGCATACGGTTGGTCCTTCGCCAGGCTTTTTGTTGACAGGGTTGGGGGGGCTCGTTGTCCCCGGAGTTTCGCCTGCAAGTGCGCGTGCTTGTCGAAGCTCCAGGAGTACAGCTTTCTGTTTGTATATTGCCCCGTCTGGAGTGTTGCACGGCGTCGTTGTCGTACGCGGCGTACTTGACCACAGTGATGGAAGCTAGCGGGCCCCAACAAAGCGCCGACGACGCTCCAAACGAGCCGCCGTCTGCCTCTCCCATGCTCAGCGCGGCGGTCGTGACCGTTCGCGAAGCTTTGCGGCCTGCCCTTCAAACGGTTTTTTTCGTGTCCGCCCCGTTCCCCCCGCTCGAACGCGCCTTGCCTCCCAGCTAACTGCCGAGGAGACGGAGGAGAGGAGGTCAACAGGGGATCTCCAGAGGGCCCCGGGGGAGAGGTGGGAGAGCATGGGGGGAGCGAAGAGGTGGAGGAGGAGGAGGAGGAGGAGGATAATCCGGAGGAGGAACAGCTGGAGGAGGAGGAGCTGGAGGAACAGGAGGAAGAGGAGGAGAAGGAGGAGGAGGAGGAAAAGGAGGAACAGGAGGAGGAGGATGAGGAACAGCTGCAGGAACAGCTGGAGGAGGAGGGGGAGGAGGAAGAGGAGGAGGAGGAGGAGGAACAGCTGGAGGAGGAGGAGGAGGAGGAACAGCCGGAGGAACTGCTGAAGGAGGAGGAGGAGGAGGAGGAGGAGGAGGAGGGTGCTCCACCCACGCCCCGTGCGCGCGTCAGGCGACCAAGCAGTGGTGCAAGTTCGACGTGCCGGGCCCGGGGGACTTCGGCGTGTGGCTCAGCAGGAAGCGCGTGCCCGACGTGGAGGCTACGCGTGGAAGGGAGTCCTCCTCCTCGTCCCCCCTTCTCCTCGTCCCCCCTTCTCCTCCTTCTCCTCCTCCTTTCCCTCCTTCTCCTCCGTCTCCTCCTCCTCCTCCTCCTCCTCCTCCTCCTCCTCGTTCTCCTCCTCCTCCTCATCCTCCTCCTTCTCCTCCTCCTCGCTCACGTGCTGTCAGAACCCACGGCGGCCGCTGCTGGGCAGGCAGCCTGCTCATTAGTAAACGGGGTAGTAGCTAAGGGGACTCTTCAAGCGAGAACGGGGTGACAAGGCATTTACCTCGCACTAATGCGTGATAAGTCGGGACGACAGAAGCGCCGAGACATCATCGTAACTCTGGGCGGCGGGGTTTACCTCGCACCTTGTGCGCGGCAGATCAAGTCTTCGAAAACACCATGGAAACACACACACGCACACACCCTTGGCTATCGGCCCGTTTACTAACGCCCCGTTTGCAAGGGCTTGGGTCTCCAGTGGACAGCGTCCGCGGCGACGCCGACAACGAGTCCTGCTCAGAAGGAACGAGTCGAAGTCTCTTAGATGGGGTCGGAGTAGATGTGGTCGGAGGATCGCGCCGCATCGCCACCGCATCGCCGATGCATCGGCGATGTATCGGCGATGCACCAGCGATGCATCGGCGACTTCCGCGTGGAGAGAATCGGGCTCCGCATCGGGCCACATCGGAGATGCACCGGCGATGCGGCGCGATCCTCCGACCCCATCTACTCCGACCCCATTCATGAGGCCTAACATCGGGGATGGACAGAACCCCCTTTAGTGAAACGTGGCTTAGTGAAAACGACCTCGGGCCCAAACCTGGCAGGCGCAAGCCTGGAAAATGCCGGCCGCGGCGCCCTCTCGAGAAACGAAGACGGACAATTCACGAAATCAATGTGTCTGGGTGGGGGCTCTGTCCACCCCCGATAGAATCGAAAACCCTAATAAGGACGCGCGGCAAGGACGCAAGACCTTTGGAAGCCGAAGTTGGGATTTTTGGGGCGGCGGACGAGGAAAACCTCAAGGACGCAAGAGCAAGGAAGAGCAAGGACGCACGGGTACCCTGAGCAAAGTCGCGCGTCCGTATTAGGGCTTTTGACTGCAGAACAAGGAATGCTGTCACCCCTCGGTCCCATGCTGCCCGCACCCATCTGGACCGCACCCTCCACCGACGCGGGCCCGCGTGCGGGCTCGCCCCGCAGCGGCCGCGCGCCCCTGCGCAAACGGAGGCAGGCTCCGATGCTGTGTTTTATTGTATGGCTCGCGGCAGGGCTGAACATAAACGGTGTTTTTCGTGTTCGTTTTGTTTTCGTTTTCCCTCGTTCTGTCTTCAATCCGCCTTCAACGCAAGACGAGATCGAAACGAAACCGGCCCACGAAATCGCCAAAACTCCGTTTAGGTCCACCCCTGGTTCGCGGTGGTGCCTGTCTGGCCACGTACCGGGTCGCGCCGGCGCCGTGCGGGAAACTACAGTCCCTAAGCGTTCCCAGGCGGCGCCGGTGCGTGAATGGCCGCCCCCAGTCCCGCCCGTTATCGCCAAGGGATGCAGAAACGATCCCAAGGAGAAAGATACATTCGGATAATGGTATATCGGGGATCTCTCAGAACCGGCGGGATTGGAGGACGCTTCGAGCGCAGACAGTCGGTTCTGGAATGCACTGGGGGCTGATTTATCCTCTCATCCGAGGCCTGCCTGGTCAATGCTCAAGCAGGGACTCCTGTCCAGTCGACCTCTCATCGGTTGACGCGCCCAGAACACAACACTGGCAAGGATGATGACCAGCAATATGCAGCTCAACGTTCGAGAAGGAAGAGAGGAGGACAAACAGGGAGAACACGGAGGAGGGAGGAAGTTGGACGAGGCAGGCCGAAGGAGGAAATACTGCACCCCTCGGTCGGAAGAAGGGGTATAAACGTGAACCAAGATGGCACAGAGAACATATTGAGTTGCGGCCTTCACCCTGAGGCCACTCGATTTTGACAACGAACTGCCATCTATCCGTGCAGCTGCTGCACACGTTCGAAATTCTGGTCATTAGATATAATGAAGTTTGAAGAGAGGCCATCCCTGTAACCGTTGCAAGCTTTTAACACAAATGTGCCTGCCTCGGTGCCGAGCCGAGAGCTCGATTTCGACCACGCCCCTCCGTTCCTGAGACCGTTGCAGACTTCAAGCTTCACGGACACCAGTGGTCAGGAAATCTCTGGCTGAACGCCCAGCCCGCCATTCACCGACACGTTTGGGGGTGCGACAGAGAGTTGTCTGTCGTGGAAATGCGGGCCAGGAGGGTGGAGGAAGAGCGGGAGGACGGGGGGGGCAGAGGAGGAGGCACAGGAAGAGGGAGGGACGAGAGAGTAAGTGGGACAGAGGAGGAAGAGGAGGAGGAGGAGGAGGAGGAGGAGGAGGAGGAGGAGGAGGAGGAGGAGGAGGA